ATACATAAAACTTGCTTTCTATGATTGAATTGTAGAATAAAAATAATTAGTTTGTATTACAAATATGGTCAATATTTTTAACTTCAAAGACAATCAAAAATTAATTTAATTAAAAAACATAATAATAAAAAAAAGAAATAATATAACATTGGAAGAATTATAATTTTCGTCGATAGCAGATGAAAAATACACGTGTGTCTAATTGTAAGTCCATTCCGCTACATCATTTCGCTGTATATTGTAATATAGTTCTACTAGTTCTTATTTAGTTAGTCACATTCCCAACTTTTGTAGATTATCATACATTTTATAGGAAAATGAGTTGTTCCAAAAAATATAAATTTTAATTTGTTTGGACATGGGCACAAAGCTTCGAATGCTTTAGTCTTTACTTCATGTTCTTCGGAAGGTATTTACATTTTAAATAGAAGAAAATACTACTGCATTTTATCTGTAGTATGTATTTGTACTATGTTATATTCGATCTATATAATGTACGCGTATCCTTGCATATTTTTATGTTATTACGTGTTAATTGAAGGAATGAAACATTCTCAATGTTTGGAAACCGACAAATCAAGTTTACCAAATATCACGTGACATTATAAATCATTAAAAACTAATAAAGTTAATGCAAATAACACAAACAGTTGTAATAATGAATCTAAATAATTCTTTTTACAAACTTGTGGATATTATATAATAATTAGAGAATAAATCCGGGAAAATATCATGGATATATTATGAATAAAATATCATATTTTTCATAAAGAAATTATTATGGTATAAAATTTTCTTTTACACACAAATTTTTTTTTATTTGCATTTGCTTTATTACTTTTTGCCAGTTTGGAATTTGACGATTTTGGAAAAACTTTATTTGTAGGTTTTCAAAAATTGATAATATTTTATCCCTTCAACTAACATGTTACAAGATAAAAGTTTGCAAGCATACGCATAAATCACATATAGCGAATATAACATAGTACCAATACATATAGATAAAATGCCACAGTGTAAGTTTTTGCGCTCTGCAAACGCGAAACGTTATACACATAGACATCGCTGTTACTGACGGAATCAGAGTGAGAAAGAGAATCTCCCGCGCGTAGTGACAAGAACGGCACTCGCGCAGAGTGAGAAGGAGAAAGAGTCTCGCGACGGATAAACAGTTGCGACGAGATCGGCGATCGCGAGTATCGTGACACGAAGAGACGTGCAGCGTGAGTAAGTGTGTGAGTTTAAAGTGTGAGTTTCAAGATTACAATGAAGTATAATTTTGGCAAAACGCTTCCTCAAAGTTATTTCAGACTCTCTCGGAACCCAAAATGGGTAAAAAGGTTGGTATCTATCATGCATTTATAATACATTCATACTTCTAATCGTGCACAAATGTAATAAGAAATAGATGTAGATAATCTTCAACATAAATAGGCATACAGTTTTTCTCTGTGCTCCAAATTTTATTTGGAACATTCAGCTAAATATCGCTGTTCACCTACTATTCTCCTCTTATCACTCGCACGTAATGTTGCAGGACAAACGTAATTAGAGCGCGGCATTCTCAGAAAAGTACATTGTAAATATTCTGAAATCTTTGATACTAGGAACTTGTGTACATATCATTACTTTTACGTTACTTAGATTATACCGCGCTCCGTACTTATTGCTTCTTTGTCCGGCGACTCGTGTGAGCAGTTACAGGGGAATAATGAGTATGAATCGAGACATTTAGCCGAAAGTTGACAATAACTTCAAGCACTAACTTGTCTAATGTCCAAGAGCACTCCTAACTAAAATTATTAAATATATATTGTATAATTTATCTTAATCTATGTATAAATTTCGAAATTGTTCAGAATTTGTAAAAACTGAATATACTTATAACTGTTTACAAATTTATCGTAATTTTGAAAGTATAATAATTGCAACACTTCAGAATTACTGACAATGTCTACATCTTTGATGGAATTATTTATATGTTAATTTTTTAAATATATACAAAATATAATCTATTTCTTATTACATAATTTTTGAAGAAAACATATAAAATGTAAAAAATATAACATATTTTTTAAAAACTTCG